CTCGATCCAGCGGAACAAAAACTGTTTAGGCGGTGGCGGGTATGCGGGCTACATGGCCCAGCCAATGCAGCATTGCCTGCCGTAGGAGGTCACCAATGGGACGTTGTGCAGATCTTTCAAGGATTTGTGAGCTCATCACACAATCCAGCGTGGTCAAAAACAAAATGGATGGTAGGCAGGCCAGCCTAAATATTTCTAACTGGCGAAGATGTTCCATTAGGAGGGTCCAAGTTTCGCAAGCGTAGAGAAGGGAGGGAATGACTGTGGTCGAGAAGACCTGGAGCTTCGTGCGGAGCAAGAGAGCAGGTAGCTTCCACACAGTGTTACGCAGCCGATGAAAAGATAATGGCGCTCGACTGATTCGGAGTGAGACCTCTGCTGTTAAACTGGAGCCGGTCATGAGCACACTGGCCAGGTATGGGAAACTCTGCACTCTCTCCACAATTGCCCCATCACCAATTGTGAGGTGCGGGGGTGGATTGTCCGATGGGACAAAATACCCAGGCAGGTGCTTAGTTTTGGTGGGGCTGATGGTAAGGCCCCATCTCTTAGTAGCACGCTCCAGTCTCAGCAGCAGCGTCTCCAACTCCTCTTGTGAGTGAGCATCAATTACCAGATCATCGGCATACATAACGTGGTTGACCAATAGGGAGCCATCCCTTGGCTGCACCCGGGCATTGATTAGCCTCACATTGTTTCTGTAGCAGACGGGAATTATTCGGGTACAGCCATTGAAGGCTTAACGAACTACATGGTCCAAATATATGTAAAAGAATGTGGGAGCCAGAGGACATCCCTGTCGCACCCCAAGGTGTAGAGGGAATGGCTCTGACTCATGGCCACGTAGTTTGACGTGGGGCCGCTCACCATCATGAATCTCCTTAAGGATCGTGAGCAGAGAGTCAGGGACTGGGAAAGCACGAAGAACAACCCGCAGGCCAAGCCTACTGAGGGTAGCATAGGCCTTGAGCAGGTCAAACAGGTCCCTGCAGGGTGGGCTGGTAGGACAAGTCTCTGCGCTGTCTATTGCTGAGTTTACACCCAACAGCACGAGATTTTACTTCGTTAAAGTATTGAAAGGGGACGGACGGACGGACACATTAATCTATTGCAGGCTGGTACACTCAGTTTACAACTTCGTTCCTACCAGTATAAAGCACACACATGGACTAACACGCACACATGGACCTACAGCCACGCAAATAAATGGACATAGACTGACACACACATTGCCGTATACACACATATGGACTCACACACAGACATATACTTTAGATACACACACATGGAGTTACACACACATATATACACACACACATCGAGTGACACGCACACATGTATGGACTTACACACACATGTGGACTAAAACACACACATATGGACTCACACACATACACATGGACGCACACACACACATTGACTGACACACATAGACACACAAACGCACATTGACTTACACACTGACATGGAGCCATGCACACACATCGACTAACACACACACAGCGCCTGATACACACAGCGACTGATACACATACATGGAGTGACACGCACACTTGGACTGACACACACGCACAAACACATCGACTAACACACACACACATCGGGCGTTCTCGGTTCGAAAAAGGACACACACATGGACTTACACACAGACGCATGGACCTACATGCACACACATATGGACTGCAACACACACATCGACTCACACACAATACATGGACGTGGACAGCAATCCCCGATGATGGCACAGCTATCAGCATCGCAGTACTACGTATGAGTAAATAGCGGGACGTGAGCAATCGAAACAATAGAAATGCATAGAAGAAATGTGTAGTTAAAGAGCAGCAGTACGCATAGGTAATTTGTTTTGCAGGCTACAGTCTAGATTATAGACTGCCAGTACGCCGACTCAATTACATAAGCATTGCTACAGTCGACATGAAAATCTGTCAATATAGGCAGCAGTTGAAAAAGGAGGATACAATCGACATGAAAGGCTGGCAGTACACTGAGTGAGGTAAAGAAGCAGGCACCAGATTTTAGACTGGCATACACTCATAATGGCCAAAAGGCAAATTAGCAGTGTAGATAATAGTGCGAGTGCACTGACGTTAATTAATGAGCAGGCAGCAGGCGACATCACAGACTGGCAGTAGACCATCGCAGCACCATAAAAGCACAGCAAAAAAAGGGAATATTTAGCAACCTATAATGCAAAATTAATTTTGTGCACACAAACATTATTATTGTAATATCTGCCAACGTATTTGTTTAATAATAGAAAACAAGAATACTACAATAATGATATCTAAGCCTCATGATAATATTAATATCTACTGACTTTATAGCAGTAACTGCACGCAACTTTTTTTTTTGGGGGGGGGGGGGGGGCGAAGAGGACATCACACTGTGAAGAAATAGGCGCAGCGTTGTGTATTTTTATTGCATGTGAAACGCGTAAAAGAAAATGTCCCTCGACTGAACGCGCATCACTTGGCAGGGTCCGCCCCCCCCACCCAATTGGCGTGAGCTGGTTCGGCCGATGTCGCGCAATAAATAAATATAGCTAAATGCCACTAAATCGCTAATTTAACTAATTTAAAGGTGACGGACGTGAAAAAGGAATAGCCTATTCCCACCGCGGGTCTTAGGGCGTGCCGGCCGGCACATTTTTTTCGACGTAAAGCCCACCGTTCAAGAGCCAAATCCCTCGCAAGCGCGTGCGCACGGAGACTTTTGTATATAAGAAGAAGACCAGCAGGAAGTACCCGGCATTGCCTGGGTAAAAAATATATTTCAAAACTTATCTTAAAAACCTTACATACACAGATACTAAGGTATTGTGAAAGCCCGGTGGGCCATTTGTCCATTTCTCCACCAACAAAATTATAAGAGGCTTGCACAAGTGAAAAAAGTTATAGAAAGTGTGGGTTAAATAGGTGATCTCAAAGGTTTCTGAAAATTGTCTACCCACCCCCTCAAAAAATATATTCATCCCCGCGTAGGTATATATACCTACACACCTTACATACAACAGAGTAAGTATTATCGATTGACTCTGTAGTTGTATCTACTGACTGTACAGTAGTATCTACTGAGCCAGTAGTAGCTACTGACTGTTTAGTAGTATTTACTGACTGTAGTAACTGCTGACCGTAGCAGTATTTACTGGGCCTACAGTAGTATCTGCCGACTCTATAGTAGTAACAACTAACTGTATAGTAGTATCTGCTGACTCTATAATAGTATCCACTGACTATAGTAGTAGCTACTAACTCTATAGCAGTATCTACTGACTCTATAGCAGTAGCTACTGACCGTAGTAGTATCTACTGACTGTGTAGTAGTATTTGCTGACTGTAGCAGTATTTACTGACCGTAGTGGTATATACTGACTGTGTTAGTATCTACTAACTCTATATAGTATCTACCAACTCGATGATTACAGCATCTGCTATGATTACAGCAGTGCATACTGACTGTGGTGGTATCTGCTATGATTACAGCTGTGCATACTGTGGTGGTACCTGCTGTGATGACAGCAGTGCATACTGTGGTGGTACCTGCTATGGTGACAGCAGTTCATACTGCTGTGGTGGTACCTGCTATGATTACAGCAGTGCATACTGCTGTGGTGGTACCTGCTATGATGACAGCAATGCATATTGTTGTGGTACCTGCTATGATTACAGCAGTGGAAACTGCTGTGGTGGTACCTGCTATGATTACAGCAGTGCATATTGTGGTGGTACCTGCTATGATTACAGCAGTGCATACTGTGGTGGTACCTGCTATGATTACAGCAGTGCATACTGACTGTGGTGGTACCTGCTATGATAACAGCAGTGCATACTGACTGTGGTGGTACCTGCTATGATTACAGCAGTGGAAACTGCTGTGGTGGTACCTGGTATGATTACAGCAGTGCATACCGAGTGTGGTGGTACCTGCTATGATGACAGCAGTACATACCGAGTGTGGTGGTACCTGCTATGATGACAGCAGTACATACTGTGGTGGTGGGACCTGCTATGATTACAGCAGTGCATACTGACTGTGGTGGTACCTGCTATGATAACAGCAGTGCATACTGACTGTGGTGGTACCTGCTATGATTACAGCAGTGCATACTGTGGTGGTACCTGGTATGATTACAGCAGTGCATACCGAGTGTGGTGGTACCTGCTATGATGACAGCAGTACATACCGAGTGTGGTGGTACCTGCTATGATTACAGCAGTGCATACTGTGGTGGTGGGACCTGCTATGATTACAGCAGTGCATACTGACTGTGGTGGTACCTGCTATGATAACAGCAGTGCATACTGACTGTGGTGGTACCTGCTATGATTACAGCAGTGCATACTGTGGTGGTACCTGGTATGATTACAGCAGTGCATACCGAGTGTGGTGGTACCTGCTATGATGACAGCAGTACATACCGAGTGTGGTGGTACCTGCTATGATGACAGCAGTACATACTGTGGTGGTGGTACCTGCTATGATTACAGCAGTGCATACTGTGGTGGTGGTACCTGCTATGATTACAGCAGTGCATATTGTGGTGGTGGTACCTGCTATGATTACAGCAGTGCATACTGTGGTGGTGGTACCTACTATGATTACAGCAGTGCATACTGTGGTGGTGGTACCTGCTATGATCACAGCAGTGCATACCGACTGGTGGTACCTGCTATGTTGACAGCAGTACATACTTTGGTGGTGGTACCTGCTATGATGACAGTAGTACATACTGTGGTGGTGGTACCTGCTATGATGAGAGCAGTACATGCTGACGTTATGTATCTTAAATGTAAAAGGTTAATTTGTGAATGTGTTTGTCTGTTCGAAATGTTAAGCATACTTGGCGACATGCAACCAAGTTTTTAAAACGGGAATAGGCCGATTCTAAAGGAGCCGTCACTGCGGAGAGGAATATGTGGAGCGGGGGTGAGAGGGGGTGCTCAGTGAGTGGAGTCTCTCCTGGTGATGTTTTTTTACAGAAACAAGTCAGGGAGGAGAAGCGAGCAGTGGAGGAGAAGAAGTGGAAGGCGAAGGAGTACGTGAGCCAGATGGAGGCCGCTCGCAGGGAAGTGAAGGTACCGTGCCTGGGCCGGACTCTCACCCCATGTCTTTACCACCCCGAGTAGGGTTTTTGATGGAGGACAACTCCCTTAATTCACATAGACTTCCAAAAGCTTGAACCCATGGTGGGACTAAAGACAATGGTCAATGCGATTCAATACCTAGACGAAAGCAGCGGATCTTATCTCCAATGAGGAACTAAATCGATTGTGGAAATTCTACATGCCATGCAGTCAATATCCCCAAACAAACAAACATTTCAAATTCTATATTGGCCAGAGATGGCACATACCTCAATTTCAACACAGATACCTCCGTTAACAAATACACTGGGAATCAAGCTCCTTTGTAACGAAGTCAGCTGTGGAAGGATATTTTTTGCTAAAATATTGAAATAAATATCTTTAAAAAATTTGCAAAGCGAGTCAAGAGTAAAAAGTCTAATGCTGCGGCATGCCCTGTAAACACGACTGAGTGGATAAAGAATTAAAGCTTTCGTGACTGCATAAATTACTCATTGGTTTTTTCGGTAAAGTAACGTATGTAGAAATACCATAAAATTATATTAAAATAAATCAATCACGACGTTTCAACCACAACACAAGCGATCTTCATCAGGTGTAAAAAACAAATAGCGAGGGAGCATATAGGGTGACATCAACGCAACACATAGAGAGCGTTAAACTCCACGGTGGTAAACACAACAAGAAGATGAGAGACGAGAATTCAGCAAACCTAAGAAAAAATTACGTGATGCAAAACCAGTCAGGCCAACAACACAGTTAGACACTTGTCTGGCGGACCACGAATTTCAGAAGAGTGATAAATTTCGTGTTCATCCTCTTGGTTGAACATACCAGCATAGACATAGTGAACAAATACGAGGTACAAGTCAGCAGAAATACATATACAGGGAAAGACGGACAGAGAAGCAAGAAAAGTGGGCCAGAGGGATGAACAGACAGAGGCTTAATATAAGCAGTAGAGGTGGGGGAGGGGCCGAAGAGTAGATGTTGCGGGAGGGGGAGAGGCCGAAAAGAGCAAGCGACATGGTAGCAGAGGAGGGGGGAGGGGTAAGAGAAAGCGAGGGGCGCAATAAGTTTAGTACAGAATTGTAAAGGTAACTTCCCCGTATAAGTGTGTTAATAAAGAATTAAAGCTTTTGTGACTGCACAAATTACTCATTATTTTTTTCGGTAAAGTCACGTATGTAGAAAAACCATAAAATTATATTAAAATAAATCAATCACGACGTTTCGACCGCAACGCAAGCGATCTTCACAAAAATCCGTGACCTGATCCCATCCGTGAAGGATGTGGTTCCTGACTTACAGTACCCCGGGGTTTACAAATTGAGCTGCACTTGTGGTGATTGCTATATCGGGGAGACGAAGCGACATGCCTCTGACCGAATTCGCGAGCACAAATCAGATTTGAAACACGGCAGAACGAATTATTCTGCCGTAGCTGACCACTGTTACAACGCTGTGGGTGATCACGATATAGTTTTCTCTGATACCAAGGTTCTCTGTAAACCCACGGGTTTTTATTAGAGATTTGTCCACGAGGCAATTCAGATTTACAAACACAGACACAATTTCAACCGAGAGGATGGTTTCAAATTAAGCAATCATTGGAAAGATGTTCTAAATCAAACCAAACATTAAACTAAGTTTCAAAGGTACAGTAAAAAAATTTCAAGTAGTGGTATCCCAAACTTTCACAGCTTCTTATTTCTCTCCACTCACTCACTCCACTCACTCACTCCACTCACTCTACTCACTCACTCCACCCACTCACTCCACTCACTCCACTCACTTCACTCACTTACTCTACTCCCCCCCCCCCCGCTGCTGGTCCGTCATGGTCCCCAACCGCCCCTGGTCCATCATGGCCCATGCACCTCCTACGCACATCGTGCTCATTTTTATGCTAATTCCTTTGTCAAGCGTTTTGCTTCCTCCCACACAGCTTAAAGGACGCGACCTGAGCTTGGCTGCTTTCACTCCAACGCTATCCTCATGACAGCACGGTCCCTTCACCTAGTGGTATCCCAAACTTTCACAGCTGCTTATTTCTTTCCACTCACTCACTCCACTCACTCACTCCACTCACTCACTCCACTCACTCACTCACTCCACTCACTCACTCCACTCACTCACTCCACTCACTCCACTCACTTTACTCATTCCACTCACTCACTCACTCCACTCACTCACTCCACTCACTCACTCCACTCACTCCACTCACTCACTCTACTGCCCCCCCCCCCCCCGCTTCTGGTCCGTCATGGTCCCCACCCGCTCCTGGTCCATCATGGCCCATGCACCTCCTACGTGCATCGTGCTCATTTTTATGCTAATTCCTTTGTCAAGCGTTTTGCTTCCTCCCACACAGCTTAAAGGATGCGACCTGAGCTTGGCTGTTTTCACTCCAACGCTATCCTCATGACAGCACGGTCCCTTCACCTAGTGGTATCCCAAACTTTCACAGCTGCTTATTTCTCTCCACTCACTCACTCCACTCATTCACTCCACTCACTCACTCCACTCACTCACTCCACTCACTCACTCACTCCACTCCACTCACTCCACTCACTCACTTCACTCTTTCCACTCATTCCACTCACTCACTCCACTCACTCACTCCACTCACTCACTCTACTCACTCCACTCACTCACTCTACTGCCCCCCCCCCCCCCGCTTCTGGTCCGTCATGGTCCCCACCCGCTGCTGGTCCATCATGGCCCATGCACCTCCTACGTACATCGTGCTCATTTTTATGCTAATTCCTTTGTCAAGCGTTTTGCTTCCTCCCACACAGCTTAAAGGACGCGACCTGGGCTTGGCTGTTTTCACTCCAACGCTGTCCTCATGACAGCACGGTCCCTTCACCTGATGAAGGCCACTTGCCGATACGTCGTGATTTTTGTTGTTTTATTTTTTACCTACGTGATTTTAGTGCATAGAACCAAAGAATATGGATCCTTGCAGTCACGAAAGCTTCAAATCTAGAATGTAATTATTTCTTAGGTTTGCTGAATTCTCGTCTCTCATCTTCTTTTTGTATTTACCTCTGTGCCATTTAACGCTCTCTATGTGTTGCGTTGATGTCACTCTATATGCTCCTTCGCTATTTGTTTTTTACACCTGATGAAGATCGCTTGTGTTGCGGTCGAAACGTCGTGATTGATATATTTTAATATAATTGTATGGTATTTCTACATACGTGACTTTACCGAAAAAACCAATGAGTAATTTCTGCAGTAACAAAAGCTTGAATTCTTTATCAACACACTTCTACGGGGAAGTTACCTTTACAATTCTGTCCTAAACTTATTGCGACCCTTGCTTTCTCTTACCCCTCCCCCCTCCTCTGCTACCATGCTGCTTGCTCTCTTCGGCCTCTCCCCCTCCCGCAAACACCTACTCTTCGGCCCCTCCCCCTCCCCCCACCTCTACTGCTTATTTTAAAAGCCTCTGTCTGTTAAACCTTCCAGCCCCCTTTTCTTGCTTCTCTGTCCGTCTTTCCCTGTATATGTATTTCTGCTTACTTGTACCTCGTATTTGTTCACTCTGACTATGCTGGTATGTTCAACCAAGAGGATGAACACGAAATTTAGCACTCTTCTGAAATTCGTGATCCGCCAGGGAAGTGTCTAACTGTGTTGTTGGCCTGACTGGTTTTGCATCACGTAATTTTTTCTTAGGTTTGCTGAAATCTCGTCTCTCATCTTCTTGTTGTATTTACCTCCGTGCAGTTTAAAGCTCTCTATGTGTTGCGTTGATGTCACCCTGTATGCTCCCTTGCTATTTGTTTTTTACACCTGATGAAGATTGCTTGTGTTGCGGTCGAAACGTCGTGATTGATTTAATTTAATATAATTTTATGGTATTTCTACATACGTTACTTTACCGAAAAAACCAATGAGTAATTTATGCAGTCACGAAAGCTTTAATTCTTTATTAACACACTTCTACGGGGAAGTTACCTTTACAATTCTGTCCTAAACTTATTGCGCCCCTTGCTTTCTCTTACCCCTCCCCCCTCCTCTGCTACCATGCTGCTTGCTCTTTTCGGCCCCTCCCGCAACATCTACTCTTCGGCCCCTCCCCCTCCCCCCACCTCTACTGCTTATTTTAAGCCTCTGTCTGTTAATCCTTCCAGCCCCCTTTTCTTGCTTCTCTGTCCGTCTTTCCCTGTATATGTATTTCTGCTGACTTGTACCTCGTATTTGTTCACTCTGTCTATGCTGGTATGTTCAACCAAGAGGATGAACACGAAATGTATCACTCTTCTGAAATTCCTGGTCCGCCAGGCAAGTGTCTAACTGTGTTGTTGGCCTGACTGGTTTTGCATCACGTAATTTTTTCTTAGGTTTGCTGAATTCTCGTCTCTCATCTTCTCATTGTATTTACCTCCGTGCAGTTTAACGCTCTCTATGTGTTGCGTTGATGTCACCCTATATGCTCCCTCGCTATTTGTTTTTTACACCTGATGAAGATCGCTTGTGTTGCGGCCGAAACGTCGTGATTGATATATTTTAATATAATTTTAAGGCATTTCTATATACGTGACTTTACCGAAAAAAAACAATGAGTAACGACTGTGTGGAGTTTGTTTACTGTACATAGCCAATCAGTGAAGAGCTTTGCGAGTCTGCCTCTTCTGCCCAAAATTGAACGAGCTCCGTATGGTGGTAAACTTTTTATTGGGTTTTTGGCATTGAGTTATTTTATTACCCCTCTAGTGAGTTCAACTGAGTCACAGATGTATATTTGGAGGCAACACATTTATTTAACTCCAATACAAAAGGGGTAACTTTCCCTTAACAGAATAATAACCTATGGTGGTGACCACCAGGCTAACTACACTAATTACAACGTAACTGCTACTGTAGACCGGGACCACAGCTCGGATCCAGGTCTACATGTTGGAGACTCGTTGATCGGTGAATGTAGAACGTAGACATAGACGAAGGTTTCTTCAGGATGAACAACAACGCCAGTCTTTCTGGGGACCCAGCTTATATTCTCTGTGGCATGGCTGGCTCCACTCTTGGCCACGACCACCTTCCAGAATCCTGGAGCAGGATCTGGTCCCCGACCACGTGACCACCCCTAGCCCCCATTTAGGACCCCTTTGTAGGCTTAACGGGTCACGTGTCCTCTAGGGTCAACCAGAGTGCCATGGCCTTTAGTAACTTCATTCCTATGGCCGACACTCCCACACCCTGTCCTCTAGGGTTGGCACTGCATGTCAAGCGTGGTGCCATCTAGCACTATCAATCAGCGCTCACCAGGCCCCTCTAGGGCCAGTACTACACCCACACCATTGTGGTATGCGCGATGTCATTACACCGCACGCCGTGCCTTTCTAGGGCCAGTACTACACAGTGACATCCCGCGATGTCACTACAATTTTGCACCGATCAGTCAAAAGACGCTCAGGGGCACCCTTGTCCATCACATCGCCATTGAGAAATGCCTAAGTGATGGCCGCCGCCGACTGGTTGGGAAGTGGCCAGGCCAT